TATTATTATTATTATTATTATTATTATTAAGATTAAATAAAAAGGCAGCTATTCTACAAAGATTTTATACTTTGCTCTTAATTTGTGATACGTGTTTGTAAAAGTAGCAAGTGATCAATCAAGACAGAGACATGGAGAACAGTATTTGTTTCCTTAAACATAAATTGGGGGATTAGGGCAGGCTTTTTTGCACTGGAGGGACATACTTTCAAGTGGCCCTGGTATACAGTATATGTACAGTAACTACAGCATGTCAGCTGCCACACTTTCTCAGGTCAGTTGTTATCACTATAGTGTATATTGATATATGATATATTTTGACAGCATGTTAATAATTCATTCTTCTTCCTGGACGTACAGTTCTACAACTAATGAATCCATTAGGGGGCACAATTGGGAGAGAAATATTCTGAAAATACAGAGCTTTTTCTTTTTCTCTAAAATGGTTTGTGGATTTTCTTTTTCACCCTTGGCTTCAGAAATGTTTTCCCCCTCATGATGAAGTTGAAATTGCTCATTCTTCCTCAGACGTGTGCTCCACGATGTGTGTAAAAGAACTTCTAACATTGTATGAATGCCGCACTTTCCTGCGATAGCACTAGCAATGCCTTCAGAACCATAAATTACGAATAAATACAGTACGTTTCAGTCTAATGTACTGGGAAAAGAATCCATACCAGCCTCACAGTTCATGCTGGTTTCTGTAGAGTTAAGGAGACTACAGACCACATGCCTCCTGCCCTAGAAGAGACACTGGTCCATCACAGCAATCACCCCCCAGCAATACTGGTGCCTACTTGTACAGCTGGATGGACTGGAGCAACTGGGGTACAGGTACTGTAAGTATTCAAGGGGCAACAACAGCATCTGCAGCAGAGACTCGAACCTACAACCTGTCAGCCATGAGTCCAACAGCTTACCCACTTCACTACAGAAACCCCCCAAAAATGGTAAGTAGACACACAAATGGAGGTGTCTCAGTGGGGGGGTTTACCTAGGATTGCTTTGTGTCCCTGGATCACATAATTATTTTTCACCGGGAGGAGTTAACCACCACATGATTTTTTAATACAGGAAGTACTGCCCCCCAACCCTTCACCCAGTGATCTTCTGCTTAAATGATTCTTAGTTCCAGTGCAGTTTGAGTGTTGTTGATCTGAATGTATTGCATTAATAATAGTCATCGTTGTAGCGTAATACAACAATGACTATTTTGTCTTTTAATTACAATCCAGACTTTTTACAGTTTTGTATGGTAATTAAGAGCGAGCTTAGTTGTTGCTAACATTTGTTTTACTTTGAGAAAGCAGCAGTTAGGTAAGACAGGCAGGTGTTTGTTTGTAAATTCTATAGGTATTGTTTCTAAAAAGCACTGTCAACAATAAAATTTTAAACTACTTACTATTAGCTAAGATACGTATAAAATGTGTAGCTCAGAAGCCCCAGGTTCCTGCACGTTATCTTAATTTTGAGAATTGTGTTCATTTTTTTATTACAAAATGGTGCACGTTTTTTCCTCTGTTCTAAAATGCTAAAATAACTGCTGCAGACGTATTTAATTTTCAACATACCACGCAAGTTACTTCTTCTGCTTCCAGAATTACTTTATATGTCTTCTATGTTTATTAATTATGCCATAAGACCACATCACAAATAAGAAGTGTTTTGCCTTTTATTTCATGCCATAATTTTGACTTAATATTTCGATATTCAATCTTTCAGTTTTAAATTGTTGCATTGCTAAAAGAAAATTATTTCATTTTTTGGGGAGTATTTGTATGCATTTTATCATTAATTATTGTATTTTATTTATTTTTTTCTTGAAGGAACTCCATACAATTTAATACATTTTCTTCAGTAAACAAAAGAATAATAATATGAAATCAAATATGTTTACAGTAGCAGGGAATGGAGTATATACAGTAAAATGTCCCAATGTAATCTTAAAAAAACAGACTTTAAGGTGGTACATTTTAAAGCAAACTTACAATATTATGAATATTTGTTTCAGTTGGCATTTATTATATAGACTTCTTTTCCAAAAGTTTTAAGTATAAGTTGTGCTTCATGGAAAATAAGATCCTGTAAATCAGAGGTGAAAACCCATTAAATTTAAATGCTTAAAATCTTTAGAAGCAGAATTTTGAGTACCTTTTCAATTTTGCAGAAGATTTGTTAAGATATACAGTAGTACTACATTTGTACACCCTATTATTTTCTTAGGACTTTGTGAAAGAGCAATGCTTTGTGCCAATATTAAAAATACCATCTATTATATTTTTACCATTACCAGCAAAATAAGGCTAAAATACTACTAAGAAGTTAAAGAATGAAGGTGAATCACTATTTCAACAGAATATAAATCTCTAGAACTGCTGTTCCTCCTTTATCTCTTGTAATGACAGCAACGATAACCAACGTATGAATGACATTACTTTTGACATTTTATGGTATAAGAAATATTGGCTTTTAATTACTGAAGCTGTGTAGGCATTATTTGGCTACAGTCCTTTGTAAAACAAAGTAGAACATACTGAAGGTATTTGTTGACCCAGTGATCCAATACTTTATATTCTGATGATGGGGTGATTCATTTCTGCTCCATCCTGTATCTTGGGCATTTTAAATGCTGTAATGTAAAGCTGACTAAATCCTATATTGAGTCTTTATGAGAACGCACAGTATGTGGCTCTTGAACTGCTCTTGCTAACTTTTTGATAACAGAAAAGATAACAGATGAAAGACAGTGTATCAAATTGTTGGAGCTGAATATTTTTTTTTTAGATTTCTCTGCATGCAGCTCTCACGTCACATCATCATTTATTTGCTTCCATTCTGCTGATGTATGAATGCGTTTTTGAGACCAATTCATGGACAGTGAAGCAAGCAGATATTTAACTGTTTCCAAGTGCAGGAAACGGCACTTCTCATCGCCCTGTCAGAAACTCCTCTGCTTTACACGCACATTTTTCACATAATGTCCAGTCCCTTCCAACTAATTCCTCCACAGTCCTTTAACAGTTCAAATTTGAGTTCAGTGCAATTAAGTTTGCATTTATTTGAAAAAGCATATACTTGTACATTTACTGCATCGCATTTTCCTGTAGTGTTTTCAGTCTGCTGGTCTGTTGTAAAATGAGGCAGCAGTGTAAAGCAGAGCTATGTAAGCTAAATTACTGTGGCCATATAATCTACACAGTATCTTACATTTTCTACCCTCTGGTAGGACACTGTGGGTGTTTTTTTTTTAACAAGATACTTTACTGGTTGTTAGTTTGGATAAAAGCATCACCTAATTTAATAATACTTAGTAGTAGATAAGCCTAATACTTCCATAGACAACCTATTTTAGTTATAATTTAAAACAACTAAGCACAGCCCATCCTTCAAAGTGGATACCTTTCAATGGAGTACCATCTAGTCCTTCGGTTAACACTGTGCTTGTAAAATACCATCCCATGACACTGCACCCATCCTCCACACGTGAGCCAGTGGTGAAGTCTTCAGCCAGTGTGCCTCATTTTCATAAGTGGCATGTCATTTGCCAAACCGCTTTGTACCATACAGTGTGGCGGGAAGCCGGAGCCTACCCAGCAAGCAACGCGCGCGGGGCAAGGTACACCCTGGACAGGACGCCAGTCCATCGCAGGGCCAGTGCAAGCCAATCACACATGGGGACAATTTGGAGACCACGGTAAAGGCAGAGGGGGGAAATTTAGCCCGGACACCGGGATACCTCCCTACTCTTATTGAGAAATGCCCTGCGATCTTTAATGACCACTGAGAATCAGGACCTCGGTTTAACGTCTCATCCGAAAGACAGTTTTCATAAGTGTAAAGAGGGAAATGAAATTCAAGCATAGCTTTTACGTTTGGGAGATGCCTCAGCTGAAGTGGCAGGTCTGTTAATGTCATTTTAAATGTCCTTTCTTATTCGCAAACGTTCTGCAAAGACACACGGCCAAAAAAAAAAACACTAATCCTCAATGAAATATCTATTGCAGCTTTAATTTACGACCAAAGCACCAAACAGAAGCAGGTGAAAATACTGCAGCTCAACTTATCGGTGTTAGGCAATGATAACTATTTTAAATTGCATTCCTAGCATCTCGAAGGATTTTAAAAGCATCCAGTTAAATAGACAGAAGGATGCAACACATGAGCCAGGATTCCCAAAACTTGTTTAGGCTCCTCCACATTCTGAAGGGATGAACACACCCTGCGAATGCATGCCACAAGATTTTATTTCAGCAGTGAACATCTGTTACAAACTCTCAAAACCTTATCGTCAGATTTTTTAGAAACATTGCCATTTTTTTTTCCTTCAAAGAATACAATTACTTTGTTTTACAAAATCTTGAGATGTGGCACCATTTAAAGACCTATACAAAATCCAGCCAGAATCAACCATGCACTGATTTCCATCCTGAAAGTCTCTTATTTTAAGCAAAATAATCTGGAAAGTCATTTTTTTGCATGCAGACGAGTTTATCAAGTGTTAAAAAAAAAGATGCTGGAACATCAATTATATATTTTAAACAAAAAGGAAAAACTGGCATGGTTTTTACAGACTTTATTAGCAAAACATAATGGATTCATCCACCAAACATAAAAATGAAAACACCATATTTACAAAACAAAAGAGTTTTAATAAAAATATCTTATAATTACAATAGTCTATTTAAGCATATAGATATTTTCTTTCACATACATTTATAGAACATCTCTCTTTCTCTATATATATGTACAATATTAATTGTCATAAATCGTTATACCTCTTAACAATATTGAACAGTTTCTAGCAGGGCAAAAAAGTTATCCCTGGTCCAACGTGTATCATCTATTTTAAACAATAGATGTCAATACATTTACAATTCTTTTACAGTTTAGTAAAGCTTTAAAATCTGCTTTTAGTAAATTAAAAAAATGCCGTTGTTCTAAAACAGTGTTCGTATTTATATAATGCTGTAAACCAAACAATTCCACCGCGTCTCTTTTACTCAGAAATCAGAGCAATTATTTGAAGTTCTAGGATAATTTCTCGGAAAAACGGTGGGATAGGGGAAGCAGTTCATTTCGCTGTCGTAATTAAGTTTTGTTTTGGCTGTTGTTGTTTTTTTTCCTGTTTCCGTAGCGTTTAGCAATCCCCTCTGATTCTGGCTCCAGATTCTCTCTCGGACTGTTTCTGAGTTTGGATGGGCCTTCCGCACACCTGTGGGAGAGGAATGAATAGAGGGGAGGTTTGTATGAACCGCGGTGATCCAGACTGACTGGCGCCACCAAGAAAACAGAGGGCATGGTTGATCAACAACCCAAAACAAACCAGGTCAAACAACAACCACGGCTTTTTGGGCTTGGGCAAACGTACAAAACGCAGCTGCAGGTAACGAGACTCTGCAAACCCACTGCTTCAGAGATCCCGTTTTAACCCTCCGTTTGCTCCGGTTGATGGCTACACCGGAGACAGTTCTTGCGCAAAGTTGCAGCTGTGGCCAAGTTAATGCCAACAAATGGAATCGTACTTCATTTAGTCTTACTTGCTGCAGTTGTTTCACTAACGCCGCTCACTCGCCTATTCAAATTGGACAAGGTTCCGCTACCCACGAAAACGGTTCATTTTGCGCTTTTTAGTCAGATGCGTTTTAACCGAGTCCAAGTGCGTAATGCATTTGTTTCAAAGGAGAAACTAAATCTACTCACCTTTTCGCCGTATTTCAACGACACAGAATAGTGTCCTCTTGCTTTTTGAGAATGGCTCTTGCCTGAAACAAATCAAATCTTGAATAAAGACTTAACATAAACAATTTGGCGTACGCATTTTAATAAGAATTATAACTATCGTTTTTAATAAAAAAAAATAATACGTATGTCTAGAAAGGTCTGTGCATGAGTCAACACTCGCATTCCCACAAAGCAAAAAGAACGTGCAAATGTTTGACAAAATTTCATTTTTGCTGGTTTTTTTTTGGTCACTTTAAATGTCCAACTTGCTGCTCTCTCGACAAATGCAGTTAGGTGCTGCACCATCCCGTATCCAGAATGCTTCATAATGATCGTAAATGAAAATAAACAAATCGAGATAATTTGAAACAAAACATGCGAAATGTGGCTCAGACAAACTAGATCTTACATGTCCAATTAACAGACGGGTTAACGGGAAAGGCAGCAGAATTTCAGTTACTCCAGCAGCAAGAATATACTATGCCTCTGCGGGGCAAAATGTGCTTTTTTTTCTTGCCTTCAGGGACTGGTTTAGGACACCAGGCTGGCGTTCTTGGGACCTGCTCGAGCCGGGCACGCACCGCCCGTCCCCGGCTTGCCAGGCGCCGGGCGCAGCGCTGCTTTGGGGATGCTTACCTGCTCAGTGTTGAGAGCAGTCAGGGGTGTCCTGGCGGAGGCCGGTGGGCACCTTCCGTGCTGCTGCCTCAACAGAGCCGGGTGCGTCTCCAGGGCGAACTGCAGGTCCAATATATAGTCTATCACATGCTGCAGGATCTCCACTTTGCTGACTTTCTTGCCCTGCGGTATGGTCGGCACTAGCCGCTTCAGCCTGGTGTAACAGTCGTTCATGTCATACTGCAGGCAAAAGAGCTCCTCTTCTTCCATTTTGCACCGGGCGATGTTCAGGCTATGGTCCGACAGACAGTGGAAAGCGATGTCACCGCAACCGGAGGAGGAATCCTTCTGAGAGCGGACTGGAGTAACAGCTTTCATTGTTATTTTTAAAAACAAACAAACAAACAAACAAACAACACTGTACCGCTTGGCTTGTGGAGGGGAGCGGAGCTCTGCTTACAACAAGACGGTTATGTCTTTTAAAAAAAACCTCTCGGTGTTAAAGGTTACTTCAATGGACTTGAACGTCTTTGGCTGTTCAGATACAAAAACAAAATGTTCAAGAGAGCGCAGTTCCCGTCTCTAATGCTATTCCCTGACCTGAGAGCTCACCGCTCTCCACTAGGCAGAGCGTTAAGTATCTTTAGAAAACGAATACAATCCGTACATTTATACAGGAGAGGGGAGGCGCTACCGGCGGCGGGTTGACAGCTGTGGGCGAAACGCCGGTCAATCAGGAGGCTCGCTGGTGCCCGTGATCAGAGCGCTCGGGCCTATAGAGGCGCTGCCCGCACACTGCGGTGGGTCTCCGGCTGAAGTCGCTCGTACGCGAAGGGCAGCGGCGCTGCTAGTTGCTGCGGGTAGGTGTGAGTGGGAACCCGGGCGGGTTGGGGGAAAAAAAATGCAATCGTTGCGAAGGGAAATAGGGAAGGAGGCAGCTGGAACTTCGGGAAACGGGAATCAAGGTCGCGTCATGCCCACAGAAAACCACTGCATAGCTAAGTAGCGCTGCTGTGAGATTTTTTTTTTTGTTTTAAAATGAGCCGGACGTGTAAAAATAAAAGAGCAGAAAAACTCCAGACATGCCCACACACCGCACCAACTGCTCAAAACCATCCGGGCTGGGAAGGAGACAACACAATTTTTGTGTAAAAAACAGCAAAGGGCGTCTTGGTTCAAGCCAATACGTATTGTACCCCAGCCACTGGCGCTGTTAGTATCGATGTTGTTAATGCGTATTGTGTGAAACAGCTCAAGAGCACAATGCCATCCGATTGCACTGTATTTTACATCTAAAATGAGGAAACCTCTAGTGTGTGAAATCCTATTTTTGCTATAAATCTGTTGAAAATATATGCACAAAACATTAAAAATATGCTCCCATCGAAAATCTAAATAATGCGTGTCTTAATACTGAAAACCACCGCCAATTTAAATAAGAGGAAGAATGTTTATTATTTGCTTGGTGTCTGCGACTTTCAAAATTCTTATTTTAAACATGTCTTAATTTCTTGAATACATAATGTACTTTGGTTCTCTTCTGTAGAACCGAGTGTACATTATTTGCAGTAACATGCATCCGTTCCAGTTGAGAAGATTATTTATTGAGAGAAATCGCATACCTGAGAGATAACGTTTCAGGTCTATTAATACCAATCCTATGCATAATTTATTTTCATTTCAAGGTATTATTCCAGACTATCCGTTGACCACTGTCTTTCTCCTATACCTTATCCACATTTAAAATGCCAAAGGAGATGATATATATATAATGCTGCCCCTTTTAAATATTTTAACAGGGTCTAGAGTTTTATTGCTTCTTCATCTCTTGAGGTTATAAAACATTTCCATCACGGCCTAAACGGACAGACGAATCACGATATATAAAACCTTGTGTTCTTTTCATTTCAGGCGAGTGTAAACCATGTTTTTTTTTTACAAAACCAATGCGCAATCTACTAAAACAATAGCTCGTCATTGTAAGCATTCGCAGGTAAAAAAATGTGGAATGAGCACAAGCGAACACATCTGAGTAGGGGGACTAAATACAATGTTGTATATGTATCGACAGTCCGTATGCGGATACGTTTCAGTCTAAAAGTGCTTCTAATGATTTCGTATCGATCAGAGGTCCTTTGGGGATCCTTACCGAAAGTGTCCCAGAGATCATAACAGCAGATGTTATTATCGCGATGGCGATTTCGGTGGTCATTTCAGTTCGCAATACAGTAACAAGGCCGATCCCGATCCCAGTCCCTCCCGGGCGGACACACAAAACGCACAAGTTTATCGGCTAGAACTTGTGTGTGTGTGTGTGGAAACGTTAAAAATACATAGCCAGTGCCACTGGGACAGAAGCCTACGGCTCGCCGACGTGTTAGTGATTTTAAGACGGCTCGTTTCAAAGCCGACAAAGTAACAGTGTCTGTTTTCTCTTTCGCCCCCTTCCTTTCCCGGCGGGTTCTCATGCCTTCAGCCAGCGGTGTGTATCGCTGTGTGTTTTTTTACACATTCCGGCGTTACCCCCGCTTGCTGCGGGAGCTCGGTCCCCGCACTGACAGCTGATTCATTGGCTCCTCACCCCAGACTGCCTGGCGCCAGCCCCGTGACGTCACCCATTCACGCCGATCCCCTGCCGGCGTCGCCAGGCAGGTTGCCAAGGCGATGCGGACGCCAAAGCCACAGATCCCTTCCAGCTCCGCAGACTGGGGGAGCAGCCCGTGAGAGAGCGCTGCCTTCCCCTCCCTGGCTTCTGGTTGGCAGTACAGTATCATTCACTGTCTCCAGCCAACACCTGCAGAATTACCTGATCTGTTAGTCTCGGGGTGGCTGGCAGTTGGAAAACCCTGAAGCTCTGCAGGTGCAAAACGCCCTCAATTGGCGCTCAGGATGTTAAACATGCTACATTAATCTGTGAGTGTAAGGATTCATGGCAGACTCTACGGGTCTATGCAGAAGTCTTGAAGCACCACTTTTGTCGTCTAGATACTTGTGTTTGTAATTTTGTAATTTTCTTTGACGTGGGTACAAACAAAATTGAGAAGAGGCCTTTGAACGTACCAGCAAAACTACAGTCTCTATTATTCTATTATCAGCAGCCATATCACCCTGCAACTCACAACTGGCAGCCCCACTGAAGCTCAGCAGGTGTGAGCCTGGTCAGGACCTGGATGGGAGACCTCCTGGGAAAAACTAAGGCTGCTGCTGGAAGAGGTGTTAGTGGGGCCAGCAGGGGGTGCTCACCCTGCAGTCCATGTGGGTCCTAGTGCCCCAGTATAGTGATGGGGACACTATACTGTAAAAAGGCACCTTCCTTGGGATGAAATGTAAAACCAAGGTCCTGACTCTCTGTGGTCATTAAAAAATCCCAGGGTGTTTCTCGAAAAGAGTAGGGGTATAACCCTGGCGTCCTGGCCAAATTTCCCATTGGCCCTTACCAATCATGGCCTCCTAATAATCCCCCTCTATGACCTGGCTTCATCACTCTGCTCTCCTCCCCACTGAGAGCTGATGTGTGGTGAGCGTTCTGGCGCACTATGGCTGCCGTCGCATCATCCAGGTGATGCTGCACACTGGTGGTGGTGGAGAGGAGTCCCCATTACCTGTAAAAGCACTTTGAGTGGAGTGTCCAGAAAAGCGCTATATAAGTGTAAGCAATTATTATTATCAGTAAGTGTTAGGGTAACATTTTTTAATCCAAACTAGGAACAGGAACTTTCCCAACACACCTCTTTCTTTCGGTGTCTAAAAGCAAAACCAAAAACAGGTACTGTTTTTCTAATAATAAGTACTTCATCACCATTTTGTACAATAATTTTCTCTGCTGGAGAATTTTCCCTTCTCAATTGCAGAAGTTCCTCCGTTTCAGCAGCCTGGCTGCACGGAGCTCAGCCCGAGCTGTGGAGAGTCGTGTCATCCACTGAGGCAAGGAGGAGACAGCAGTTCAGATGTGGAATTAAATCCAGGCGTCCACAGTGCCATGATATCTTTAATGACCAAGCAATCAGGACCCTGGCTCGATGTCTTAATCGAAAGGATGGCACATCCTACAGCACGGTGGCCGCCACTCACCGTACCGGAGCATTGGGATTTTGGAAATTAGGACCAAAGCGTGCTGCGCCCCCTACTGGTGGCTGCCTTGCACAGCTAAGGTCGGGAGTTTAAAGGTGGTCCCTGTGGCTGAACCTCTTGTTATCCATCTTGACATTACTTACAGGCCAAATGTGAATTATCTGGAATCTGAAATATTACTGCAATTGCAAACACCCCGGACAAGCACCGGTGGTTTTAAGGAAAACGTCAATAAAGTACAATGTTATCGTTCTTACCGCAGTGTTGCATTCTAGCGGGGCAGAATGTGTACCGCAGAGGAGAAGCCGGACGATCGGTATCTTCCATAGTGTGAGAAAGACACGCGTGAGTATTGCGGGGAAACACATTCCACCTACAAAGCATGCAAAGGTCTGAGCTTTACGTAACTGCTTTCCTGGCTTCGATTTCAGCAAAGGTCCAGAATGCGTTTCCTTTCCGGTAAATATTTTCCCTCGTGCGGGTTCAGAGTTTGAAATCCGGATTCTGAGGTGTCGTGAGCTGCCGCGTCATGACTCCTGACTCCTGAGTCACAGACGCGCAGCGTGCTGCTGCCAGCAATGGCCACACATGCGACTAGCCTGTGGCTTTCACAGTAGAGCCTGCGTAAATCACGATCAGCACTCTGCATTTACTTACAGGGCCTTGCAGAAGTATTCAGAACCTTCTAATGGATTCCTACAGTATGCGTAAGCGATATCTTTTAAAAATTAACCAATGTGAGGAATAATAATTATTAGTAATGAGTTACATAAACTCCTGTGCTGTTATTATATAGAAAGCAGATCCATGCTTTTCCTAACTGCTTTATCCAATAAGCAAGCAACAGGCGCAAGGCAGACTATACAGTACCTTGGGCAGGAGGACGCCAGTTTGTCACAGGGCACACACACGCACGCACGCCCGCACCAGGGCCAGTTTTCCCAGGAGCCATTCAACCTTCCAGTATTGAGTAGATAGTTGCGTCAGAATGCGGACTGTAGGTTGCATAGTAACAGGTAAAGGATCATTCCATGCTGAAAGGTAAAGAAAAGAAACATTATGTTTCGGATGTGGAGCCTTCATCAGGTGTGAGGGAGAGAGGGAAAGTAGCAGAAAAAGAAGGGGTGGGACACAGGGAGAACATGGGCACAGATCAGGTGAGAATGAGCTCTCCAGTATGTCCTTGGACTGCGAGATAAAATTCACACAGACCCACAGAGAACATGCAAACTCCACACAGAAGACACCTCTGAAATTGAACCCAACTCTGCAAGGCAGCAATGCTAAAAAAATGCATTACCTCTTAAAACCAGTGACACCAACTTTTTAAAGTGCCTGTTTTATCACTGCAAAGGATCCCATTACCCATTTTCTCACTTACATACATAATCTTGGATCTGAAAACGTTACAAAAGTAACTTTCTGCAATGCACGCGGTAGTATAGCAGATGCTGGTTGAAAACTCTGGGGCTTGAGAGTTATGCTGGTGCACGGAAATAGCAACGAAGACCCTACAATGAGAAAGATATTTACTATTATTGACAGAGTCCTTTTTGCCTGCATTTCATTCTCAGTTACCAGGCTCCACTTGAGGGCTCTTCAGCTGGCTTCCAGCCCTAATCTTTCTCAGAGAACAGGAGCTGCCTTTCTCCCAGGCTCTTGAAAGAGTAGTTCATATCATCTGCATTTTTTAGTAATTCTGAAAGCCCTATAACGTTTTCTGCGTGGGTCTCTATCGTCATTTCTGCTTAGATAAATATTTTCTTGCTGAGTATTCCAGCAAAAACAACAAATGAAAGGACGTCTACAGAGGTATTGCTCTAGAGAGAGGCGTGTTGGTGCAGTGGTTTGCATTACTGCCTGACAGCACTGGAGCCCTGCCTCCAATTGCGGACCTGAGGTGCTATCTGAGGGGAGTTTGCACGTTCTTCCCAAGTTTCTGAGGAAATTTGCCCTTGTGTGAGTGTGTTTGTGGCTGTGTGCAAAAGATTGGTGTCTTATCCAGGGTGTATCCTGCCTTGCGCCTGTTGCCTGCTGGGATAGTCTCCCACGACCCTGGATTGGATGACATGGTTAAAAAATGGATTCTGCAGAACCTATTGCCTCTGCAAAAGTAAATTTTCCTGTCAAATAAGTTGAACACAAACAATAACAGAATCACAGGGGACAAATGACAAAAAAGAACAAGTCAAACACACGAAATCAAACCTTTAATGTATCCAAAAAACATCCTACCAGAGCATGTGGACTTCGCTTCTTATAATAGTTTTTCCTCTAATGTAGCATCTTCACCTGTACTTTTCAACCTGACTAAATAAACCAGGTAGACGAGCAAGGACCAGAAGTGATAAATTAGCTTTGGGTTAAGTGAACTTTCTACTAACATGGACAGCTTTCAAACAGGGAGAGGACTGTGCTCGTTTTTTCACTGGGAAGAAATGGTGCCTTGTGTTTGCCAGATGGTACCAAGTCAGTGCCCACTGGTTAGATTAAAGGCTCTATTACTGTAACAGTTCTAGCCGGTGACTTAATGTGCTGCACGGAGCTCCATAGCTGCTGCGCTCTGTTGCTGAACAGATTACTTTTATACTCCAGTTAGCGCTCACAGTCTCAGTTTCCCAAACGCGTTTGTAAAAATATTGAAGTGAAAGCAAAGAAGGAAATAACATCTCCAACATAAACAGCAATCCTGTGAAAGCAGGCTTGTGAAGCCCACAAGCCCACAGCAGAATAGAACCGCACAGAATGTTGAAAACATCAAATTGATCAAATCCAGTTCGAAATAGGATATTTAAATGGAAACATGGACTTTAAGCAGCACATTCCAATACAGCTACCTGAGACTTTAGGTTTCACTGGATTATTTTTTACAGTATGTTCAGTAGAAAGCTTCTGCACTACAGTGAAAGCAAAAGCAATGTTTCTCAATCTCCATGACTCTATTTCACCCTGCCGTTCTCCCCATGGGTATTTTCCCTCGGGCATTATTTTCATGTGGGTTGCTGAAAACGGGGAGGAAAACAACTTTCATTAGCATAGTGTGCAGGCCTTGGCTTTGGCGAGGAAGAATCCATTAAACATCCATTTCTGCTCACAGATACCCTGCTGTGCAGTATCTGTTGCGTTTTACCTGGATACAAATGAAACATCAAATCTAAAGGCTGAAGCAGAACAAAATGACCATACTGGGCTCAGGCCCTCTATAAACAAAGGCCTTAGGAGGCCAGAACACACAAAAACTAATTAGGACAGCAAACATATTTTGAACCAGAAACTCTATTAAGTGGAATCTTCTACAGTATACTCTCTAAGCAAAGACAAGCTCTGAAACAGCCCAAAACCAGCCACCAGTGGGAGTCCTGATATATAAGAAACGGACTGAATTAACCCCATGTAAGAATGTGGCTCTCACTTCTCCACTAGGGAATCAAACAATTATCCCAATATGAGCCTGTATACGAACAGTAGAGGCCTCAGTACCAGGTTAGCTGAAAATACTATCCCTACTACAGCTGGGCTGCTACAAATATCACATTAGATAAAGCAGTTTTAAACCGTTGTCAACAATTATGAGTGAGTAACTACGCTTGGAATATGTGAACACATAGCCGGTCAGTGGGATCCACTCAGCGCTGCGAAGGGAGAGCCTGTGACATTGTAGGGAGAGATTACAGCAGGGTGGCTCCCCCTTTCCATCTGTGTCTTCCATAGACAAAACAAATCAGAGCCATGCAAAATAAGGGCAAGGCCAGCTGGCAAGAAGAGCCAGGAGCTCGTTTTTCACAGAAATCTCATCCTTTTCTCTGGCCAGTTGAGGCCGTTGTAAGGGTCACCCCTGACAGCCAACATCACGGTGAGAAAACTGCTGAATTCTGGGGGGACGCCAAGGTCAAATACTTTAATAATACTATTATATATGTTCTCCTCATCACAGCACACCTATACACAGCGCCTGCTCCACAAGGCCACATCGGTGTCTTCCTTAGCTATTAACACTGTCCGAGTTAGAGCTGTGATACCCCATGTTGTGAGAATTGGCGTGGCTGTTCATCAATGAAATGCCCATCAATGAAATGCCCTGTGCCTTTAAAATCTCCTCTTGAGAAGCCTATAGAATGAGGACTCGCTGATTAAGAGTCTGCTTTTGTGTATTTATATCTGTAAGTATGTGTTTTCCAGCTCTCAGCTTTGAATATCTAGACATACATACGGAATATATAGCATCCTACAGTATACCTGCTATATATAGGCATTATGGAACACCTTTCCAGGTTAGGGTGGGAGTAAAGGACACCAGTGGCCTTGTATATAAAAGCATCAATGATTTATGAGTTTGAGTCATATTGGATCTGTGTCCAATAGCAGGGCTAGAGAAAACAGAACTGTCTTACAACTCTTCATTTTGCCATGTTGCTCAGAAAAAGTCACAATTACATGTTGTATAAGGTAGATATGTATTACATAAGAACGGTTACAAATCAGAGGAGGACACTCTGCCATCGTCCATCTCCACTGATTGTCCCTGAAGCAGGTTTGAGTGGGGGTGTGAGGGTTCAGTGTCTATTGTTTCAGCAATCGCTTACTTCAAGCTGAGACTGTCATCCCAGCATGCTGCTACTGTGCTCCACTGACTGAGAGAACTGAAAAACCTTACATGTGCTGTCTGGTAGGTGACGTGCCAAGTGGACTGATTTTAAATTGTTCCAGCCTGGGAACAGATACATTTCTACGCCGTAACACCTCCTTTTACTGGAGGTGACAGTTACAGGGCAAACTATGGATCATCAGCTCTGATCTCAGTGGAGCTTCACACTGCTACTGTGACTTGAACCCCAGTCAACAAGTGGCTGTGGATCTAACTCTACATTATCTAGGATGTAGGAACTCAGTGTCAGCTCTTGATAGAGGCTTTTGGCACAGAGAAGCAGCTATTCTCTTAAACATCTACAGTAACACTAACCTTTCTCTGAAACCAGATTCACTGCAGCAGGGTGAGAAAACCGGGAATTTTTCAAGATGTGAAAATGAACTTTGGCAGTAGAAAGTGAAACAAAAAAGTGAAAAAGACCGAACTGAAAATAACAAGGGAGGTGTGTGCAACTTCAGTAAAACTGCACAGCATATTACAGGGTAAAATTCACTCAAATGCAGGGTGTGAAGTTTGCACAATGCTAAAACAAACTGTTTCACCTCTGAAATACAGGAATCAGTTATGCTTACATTTCACAAAATGTCTTGGTGAAAGAAATCAAACTATAATATAGTAGGACATTATAGTAGAGGTAACGTTGAGAATAACAGTTTGGTTAAAGTGCCACTTAAAAATAAAATTAACAGTGACCTCATAGGGAGCTGCGATATGTAGTGAAGATGTAAGGTAGAATATATACAAATTTGATAGTCGTAACATTTGATTTAACAACAAAGACCTGTCAAGGGGTACTGACCTTCTGGGGCTTGACAGCTCAGCTATTACCTACTCAAATGCAGAGCCACCTGTGAGACAGAAATATTTGGGGAATTTCTGCTGGAGAAAAAAATACATCGTTATGCCAGAAGACACAAAACTAATTCCTGTTTCAGTAGTGCAATAGATCCTAATGAATGGTACGGAGGGATGAAATATAAAGGGAGTATTTGTTGTTGTTCGCCTAGCTGAGGGAATGGCAGGCCAGCCATGAGAATAAGGCTGCCCCCCCCCCCGCCAATTATTGCGAGGAATAAGCTAGGGAGCTGCTCCAAGGATGTACATGGGGAGGCAGGTGCAGAAGTGGGGGATGGGAGAGAGATAGACAAAGGCAAGTCCTGGGTGCGAGACCTATATATCTAGGTGAGTGGGAATGTGTGCAATTAGGATCTAACATTCCTCCTGAATTTTTGTTATAAAGTCCTTTGTTCAAGCTGTGTACATTGAAAAATGACACATAATACAAACTGACTTCAGAAGAAGTTCATTACATTTCTCCACTGACCTGTCATCGCTTAACATTGTGCTCTGCTCCATTTCCTTCTGTGTTGGATGATCAGAAATGCAAAACATATGCCAACTGTAGCTGGCATTATAGATATGTAGGAGTTTTGTGAATTTACTGGGAAAATTTATTAATTGCAGCAGTAACCATGAGGTGATTCTTTTATGGCTATTCAATCGATCAGCGACACACACATGGATTCAATAAACGAGATACATTTATTAATACACAAATTGTGCATATAAAACATAGCAGTCTGCCTGGATACAGATGGCAGATCTTACTGTGAAGGTTATCAAAGTGCAAGGTATATAATCCCGAAGAGATGCAAAACACAAAGAGATGCAAACAAAGAATATCCTTCAGTACATCATTTGGCTATACTATTTCATTAATCAGTCTCATTAATATAACTTCTACATGAGATACTCAAAGTAAATACATTACTCATATGAATTAAATTGATATCAACTTGTGTTGAGGTAACAACTTGATTGGCAATGTAGAATATTTGGTTTACTTATCCAGATATGGTTTCGTATTTCCCGGCATGGACACCAAAGACCAGCTGGCAGGCTCTGTTGCGGCGTCCAATAGGCGTCATCCTGGCGTCCTCTGGCTGCCGGTCAACCAGTCCTAGTGCAGCTCGGAGTCGGATGAAGGGAGGAATCGTAGTGCAGTCGTCTCTCCCAAGGCCCTACCTTGAGGGTGACCGTGGGTCCGAGCAAGTCACTCTTTAGGGGGAAGAAACTTTGTTTGCTTCCGGTGTAGTGCTACTGCCGAATAAAAACGTATTCAGATTGTCGACCAAAGTCCAAAAGTATACTTCGGTGATCAAGCGAAGCGTCCACGTTGGCGGCTAGCAATTTGAATTCATACGTACGGGCATTTCCCAGCCTGACACTTTGCTGAAACAAGGTTCCAGTCCCTGTACAGACAACACTGGCCGTCACGTGATTGTCTCGAAGGGTGTGAAAATGGCAAGAGAAGCAAAGTCTGGAGCTTTGCAGTGTCCTTTAAACCGGAACCAAGACGGATGATGATTGGTTGAGAGTTTGGCGGGCATTTGAGACCCTCGTGGGGTTACCACGCCCTGCAGGTTCCTGATTGGTTGATCAAGGGTAGAGATGAGTAACAATGACCTCTGACATCTAGGGCTGCAGTCCAGATGTTCCCTGGAATTCCATGCACAGATAGGCGCCAGGAATGGCCATTGATCATGATAGCCAGGCATGGCTGGGCGCACCACATTTGGGAGCTGCTCCTTATCGGAGAGAAAACACTTTAAATCAGAAACTGCATGAATAGCTTCTCTGTGGCTACACCACAGAGATGAGAAAGAGAGATGGGGTCTCATTTCTCTCCTCCATTTCTTTATTTTTTTTACATATTTATTATAATAAATTTACAAAAATACTTTGCAGTTCTTCTTGCTCTTTTTGGGTGGTTCTTTTTGAAAGATTTAAATTCTAATTTTATGGACAACTACTTAATATAGCTTATGAGCAGTATATGATTCTGTTGGAAAATCTGACATTGAAGATTTTCTTTACAACAATACTAGCTTGGAGTCTGCTCTGAGAATTACTATTGGATGATCTGTTATTAAATAAGAAACGTATTTAGAATCACAGTAGGGCTTGTTTATACAAAAAACAATGAAAAATAACCAAAATGGAAAAATTAGATATATTACCCAAATATAAAAAGCTAGAACATAAAATGATCGAGGCAATCACAGAAATATTGTATTTTTGCTTCTATAAACTGAAATTTGAATGTTTGGAAACAAAAATACAAAAAGATTTGTATTAGTCAGTAATGGATTGAAGGGGGCGAACTTATTGCTCATGACATGCCAGGAAACTGTTGGCTTTAAGCAACCCATGAAACAGTGTTTATATTCATATCAGAAATAAAAACATCTGAAAAACGAATTAGAAATTGGAGAACAGTATGCAGGGGAATCCCTTGCAGATCAGTATGAGAAACTGTGCTCTTTATGTTCTATGTCCATGAATTGTGATGATGTATCTATCCAAGTTATTACAGGAATGGAAAACAACTGGAATAAGTAATCTATTTTAAGACAGGCTTTGGTATTTTTAGTTTCTGGACAATAATTGACAGTCACTGAACATTTTGATACTGCAGGGCGAAATAAATCATATATGAAAGATATTTAATGAAGCTTCCCTTTTTAAGTAAGAACACAATAAGGGAGTACTAGGGTAACATGGCTATTTCTGGACATTCAGTAGGGCTCCGATTTATCATTTCGATGATTAGCCAGTGTTTTAAAACTTTTCCAGACCACAGCTTACCCAACGGGGCGCACGCAGAATAATTCTGATGAGGGACAATTGGAACACGTCCTCTGGTGCTATTTCAGCGACTGCCTCAGCAGAATCTGCTGGATATTTTGGTCAGCACTGGAAATAATGTTGACCGAATGGATTGTATAAAAAACTTCAGCAGTGAGCTGAAACAGCAATATGTGGTGAGTTGAGTTTCTATACAAGCAATGGGAGTTTCGGAAAACACTTACAGCTGGTACTTTCAGTTCCCGTTGCATATCATTGACCGTAGCTGGAGTGCTATAGAGTGTTTACCTATGGTTTTGAAATTAGTGTCACGTTTTGGAACTGAAACCCATCATCCATTTGTTCCATCTAAAAGACTTGGATGCTTAAATCATGATTTTTCCCTCCTATTTATTTTATTTGTTACCTGCATAAAAAAAAGTTTGTTTCTACAGTATATAAATTAGTTTCAATCCATTATCTTCACTTTACCGGGAGGGGGGATTTCGTGAGCACAACAAAGGCAATTTAAAAAGCCACCCTTTTCAGGAAGAGAGGCACCACAGCCATTTGGTCATGCAACAGTGTAATTCCCTTACTAACTGGAGTTCATAACAAAACTTTGTGTGGAAACTCCCCCACTCTTCTCCTACCTATCACCCATGGTCACGTCCTTTCCTGTGATTCCTGCTCAGCATCTCTCCACCATCTCCATTGCTGCAGCTCGGTGCTTCACATTACTCAGGGGGGTAGGACACCAGGTGTCACTCCTTCAGCCAGCCTCAGCACATTTAAGGGTTGGTCTGAACTCCTGAAACAAACGTCCCCAGGTGAGGGGAAAGGTTGCAAACAATTCCGACAGACATGCTCTGTGTAATGACAGCATTTTGAGGTCAGTATCATTCTTTAGCATGGTCAGTAATCAGTGGGACGCTTGTGCCTTGGGGAAATATAAAATAGCAAAATAGCTTATTCACAAAAGCATTTATATGAGGTACTAAGAACCAAAAAAGTGTCTATTTGAAGTAGTATTCTATGAAATGATTTCAAAGTAATTAATAAAATATTTGATTTTTCTTATTTGTTAGTCACAACAAAAATCATCTTTCATGTATTGACAGAAGATGCTAGCCTGTGTTTACAGAGCCCACTGCAGTATACTGTAATAATTGCAAGCATGGTAAGAAAAACCTCTACATGCAACCTAATATTTCCGGGGTTTTTTTGGGTGTGGAGCAGGTACAATTGTGCCAGAATCTGACATCAGAGAAATAAACACATAAGTGTAGAAAGGAACCAGACTGTCAACATGTAAAGCCATTATCTTGTGTAACTTAACCAAAAATACTGGCGGCTGTCCTTTTTCTGGTCACCCAGCATGGACACATCCAACATTTGCATTGAACCCACATGTGAGCTCTCATAGTTTTGATAGCAGGATAAGCTACCACGGGCTGGAGAGCATACTGTATTTTGCCATCACTGATGGTTTTCTGGAGTTATGCAGCCATTATTCAAATGCCAGGAACGTTCTGCACACTTGTCACTCTGCCAGTGTACATGCCTGAGGCGCATTGGGGTGTGCCTGGGAGAAACACGAAATACAAAATAGGCTTATCAATAGATGTGCCAATCAAACACTAAACAGAAGCTTCAGTAAACAGAGACACTTCCTGTCCAGTTATGGAAAAAGGCACTCGAGCTGTTAACGATGAATCCCTGTTACTTAGCATTTAACATGTGTTTAATTATTCCAATTGTTAATTAATTAATGAGCAATTATAGTCATTCATCATTTGTACAACTTCACCTCCTTCCAAAACATCTGGTGAATTACCAAAGCAGGTGAGTGAAATTATAAATATAGCTTCTAGATGAGTATTATTCATTAATAAACATATTGCATTCTTTAAGGATTACTGTGCTTAAGCTGAAATAACATCATGTGAAAAGCACAGAAACTAATAAAATAACACTTTACCACGCTCATGACCCTCATAAAAATATTCTTATACCTTGGGAATAAGTTTAACTTTCCCACTGTTTTTTTTCCTTCTTTTGTTTCTTTTTTTGGTTAAAATCTTAAAGTTTGTCTCCTTTTTTAATGAAAAACAGAGAGATAGAAATTTTGGAAGTTTACAAAAATCATCCCCAGGCTTCTTTTTTTTTTAACAACTGGAATGTGGAAATTCTCAGTGAGACCCAAACCCTTTGAAAAGATGTTCCCATAGTGTTTTTTTCCCTTTCTTTTATCCAGGATCTTCCCTGGAACTTGTCCCAGCAAGGAAGGGAGCAGGGTGGATAATTTACCCCATGCTCTCAGCACCACGATAAACATGTTCCCAGTGCTACATTAAAAGAATTAATTGCTCAAAATGATCTCACCATCTGTTAGTAGAGCCCCATACCTACAGGCTGGTGGCATGCGGTGGCCTATTCAGGAATCAATAAGCAGGGCTGGAGACATGCTCTCCCACATTGCCGGCTGAAAAGGGGAGGGGAACACAAAGCTGGCCATCTGCTCTCCGTCTTTCTTCTGAGCGACCCCAACACAGTCCACCTCGCTCTGATCTGACTCCAATTCCGCTGGAATGCGGTCGGTCCGAGGGCCTCTCAGCCCAGTGAAAGTGAGTCAATAGGAGATCCCTTATTGTCCACCCCCACCTCACCCCCCCGTGGCTGAAAGAAAGAAAATCGGCACTTGAACATTCATAACACACCGGTGCCCGCCAGCTTGGTGTGGCATGAAAACACACACACACACACACACACACTGTACCGCCCGGGTTGTTGATGTTTGTGAAGGAATGCCGTTCCGGGAAGGAGACAGAAGCACTTGTAGGAATGTGTTTAAGATTATAAAGGATCAATACTATGAGGATTTGAGTCATTTGGAGCTTTGCTTGATTTCTGGCTATCATTTCTTCCTCATCTCTTCCCTTGGACACTTTTCAAGCATTTTCATCCTGCCTCCAAAAATGTCACTGTCACTTTTTCTAACACGCCCAGCATGAAACTGGTTAATTACACCTTTGTTTATCCAGTGTTGATGGTTCTCAATAAAACTGTGCCTTTAATAATTGTCACTTTAGATTAGAAACATGAAATGAGGGATGCTAATGCGAATCGATAATAATCACATTGTGAATCTACGGTAAGTGTGTGAGTTTAAATGGAGCCCACATTCTGTGGGCTTGAAAAAGAGACAGACTGAAGGCACTTCTTGCTCCTGGGAAAATGTAACAGGTGTGTTTCTGGCTCAGTAGGACATAAGCCTCAAAGGAACCACTCTGACATTCCTATAGAAGCTCACCGTGAAAAAGGAGAGAGCAAACTAATGACTTCATTACCATCTCAATTATGGCAAGGAGCACAAAAAAGCTTGCCCTTTGTTTAACTTGTTAGGGAAAAAGAAGTTTACTCAAAGATGGTGTCCATACATTAATGACATGCTCTCACGAACCAATCTGTGTTTCAGCTTTACCATTCAAGTGGACCAAATGAAAGAAGGGAAACTTTATAATCTGGCATTGGTGAGTTTAGATTTGATGGTTATATACTGTAATGAGCACCAATGCACAGAGCTTGCGACAAATGCAGAAATCTGATTTTCAGACATATTCAAGAATATTTAATGCTTCAATGCAATTGCCCTTCATTGGAAATAACCTACGTTACTGCATGATATTTATATGTTGATTGATTTCCCATGTATACTCTGTAAAGTACATACAGTCAAAGTCAGCCACTTCACTAATCCAAATCATACAGACACTAAAGTAACACTTAAACAAATTATGATTGAATTAGGACTTACATTTTGCCTAAGACAGACTTTAGACAATCTGAAAATGAAGCCTTGTCACTTTAGGAATCCAACAGCTGTAAAAAGCTACCATTTCACCACTGAGCTGTATTTTTTGTCACATTTATCTTAAATTTCGAAATCTCAAAACAAAAATTCAATATTTGTCTTTCACTGTTTTTCTTTCTTTGTTGGAACACGGCTGGCAAAAATATGAATTTCTGGAACATGGTGAAATGTTATGACTGAGGCATTTGAAATCGTATTTATGCTTTACAAATAAGGACCTGGATTTAAGGGCATTTTGCAAAGAGCTGTTACTTCCTTTACTTCCTGCTGCTGTTCACCGTGCCTACATCTGCAAAGGCCTACTGTTTTTTTTTTTTCATTTTATAAGTGCTCTTATAGAAAGACTGCTGCCTTTCTAAACTTTTCTCTCTCAACAGCATTCTCTGGTCTGTTTGCTGTAGAGGGAAACATAGCCAGCACAGATGGTTGAGTACCAAAGGCAAGGGACATTTTCTCATGCCTTTAAAAAGAGACCTTTCTTTCTTGGCTAATATTTAGCTCCTTCAAATGCAAATGGAGAGGTTTTGCTCCAAGGTTAGCATAACAATTATGGGAAAGCTTTAGATCTGAAACGTTTGTTTACACGATGAAAGGAGTCTGCATCCCAGCAGCTCTGGAGCTTGGGCTGTTTACCACCTAGCTTCGTATGAACTGCAAGTCAATGAGAGGCACAAAGACACGCAGTTTATATAATTAGAAGCAATTAATTTTATTGGTAATGCCTTTCCTTTTTCACTCCACTCACAAATTTGAACCACTGCCGCTATATCTGAGGAGAAAGTTAACTGTCTTATTAAAACCATGTTTTCAATATAAAATACAACTTTTTTTTTCGATTGACAAAAGTAATCTGTAAAAGTAAACTGTGTTTTGATTCATTTTTCTATTAACTAGCAGTTTTGGTGTGTTACAAATCAACTAAAATGTTGCTCTTACCAACTATAAATGCACGTAAAAGACCAAGGGCAGCACACCTTTGCAACGTCTTTGATTGCGTAGATCATACTGATACAATTTGCTCAAAAAAACAAATTTGTCTTTGCTCCTCCGATACAGGAGGTGATATTGAGTGTCCCGCAAGGCTCTGTTCTTGGTCCAGTTCTTGCTAGTATCTTTGTGTTACCATTGGGTCAGATTCTTTGTCGGTATGGCATCTGTCATCATTTCTAAGCTAATGACACCTATATTCATGCCCAGACAATGCCTGAAATGAATCAAGCACTATCCACCTTGCGACACTACATCTGATGCACAGACCATAAAAGGGGACACAAGAAAATGCTTTTGCATCTCATCTTAAATAACTATTGACTATTGATGGTCCTATAATCAATCCAAATGCTCACGTGATAAATATTACAGCCATTTTTGACCCAAGCCTTGCATTTGAATCTCATGCTCTCAGGATTGTGAACATGTCTTGTCTTCATCTTCAAAATTATCTGCTCGTTTGTTTATATCTGATATAGAAAGGTTCATGTGTGCTTTTCCATTTTTCTTTTCCATGGCTGAGTATTATAATTCAGTGCGTGCTGGTCGCAGCACGTTCAGAACTCAGCTGCCTGGATTTTAATCAAACTAAAAGGTGTGAGCATATATCATCTGTCTTAGCTGTTCCTTGCACTGCCTCCTTGTGGATTTCAGAATACAATTTGTTATACGGCTGCTCTCCTTAAAAGGTTTTAACTGTTTGACTCCTGAGTACATCTGTGAACTGTTATCTCTTTAGACACCTTTGCATTGATTGCACTCTTAAGCTTCCAGTTTCCAATACTAGGCTGTAACCCTGGGAGACCTGTTCAATTGCTCCAAGAATGATCTCCTAGGCTACATCAGATTTTACAAGTCAGTCAGCATTTTCAAATCTGGTCTTTAAACTCATGCCCTTTTTCATAGCTTTTAATTGTTGAATTTGCTATTGTCATTTGTGTATACCTGTCTCTTTGTTTATTTAGCTATTTGAGATGATACAGTATACTGTACATACTGTGTTATGAAAAGCTCTATATAAAAGAAAGGTTATCACTGCACACTGAAACTGAATTTAATTGATTATTCAATTTAAAAAGAAATTGATCACTCACACATGCTTGTAGGTTTTTTTTTTCACTTGAGTGATCACATAATAGACTCGAGTGACTTAGAATTTCACATAAGCACTACATAACCTTATTGGTGAGAGAGCTGATTGGGCACAGGGGATGATTCTGTGCATTTAAGCTGCTCCATATGAATGTTGGAGAGAACCTCAATGAAGCTTTGAATGAATGAGGAGGACCCTAGTCTTCATAAGGGATGAGTCAAGGTGTTGTGCAGACCACCCTGTTAGATGAGGCGCCGATGTGCTTTGTACAGTACCGCAGACCAGAGGAATGTAAGGCTCGAGTGTGATGGATTGGGTAGGAGTGCTGGGCCACTACAGAGCTGCACTGTGGTGATTAATGAGAAGATGACTGCTTGGTGCTACATTGATCAAGTCCTGGGACCTCGTTTGCAGCCTTTCCTGCGGGCTCATTCCAGCAGGACAGCAGGCTTCCTCAAGCTGCTCATGTAACAGAAGCTTTTTTGGAAGGTGAGAATGTGAGAGTAACAGCAGATGTCCTACCTGTCAGACTTCAGCTCCATTTTAGTTGTGTAGAAAGAGCTGGAATGACGTGTGGGTGGTAGTGCTCAAAGGCCAGGGAGCTCCATTGTCCAGGTGGTACAAAAGGAAAGGACTAGATTGTCCCTGTGCACAATAGGGATTCCAGATGTACAACTTTTATTCCTTCCAAAAGTGGCCACACATGCTACTGGCCCTAGACACAACCTCTTGTCGTTAGCCAAAGTATAAAACAACACCGGCATGCATTTGTAACATCTTTAAGCAACAATCTTGCATGCATGATCAATAGGCCAATTAAGTTTGCTTTAATTGTAATTAATTTATGGTGTACATCTTGAGTTTCTTTCCAGTCCTTATTCCGGTTTGGAGAACTCATTGTGAATGGATATGCATTGAGCAATAGTTTAAATTGCAATATTTACTGTAGGTTCCCACGTTTGAGCTACCCATTCTTCCAGGCCACCCTTGAAACTAGCAATTCTGGTCAGAGGAGGAGGGTACCACTACGCCCCCTGCTGGACAGAGGAAGGAGTCAGGAAAGCTGGTGGCACTGAGGCAGGAGGGATGAATCTGTAACAACACGATCTTTCCCTGGGCATGCTTAATTATGAACCAGCAAACTAGTCCATTACTGGCAGTTATGGAGTTGTTGTTATGTTGTTTGGGGAAACAGACGTGACGTGACATGTGTGCTTTGTGTTGTAAGAAGGCCAGATGTGTTCCCCTCCCTGTGCTTTGTGAAATTTGTAAGCTGTTTTGGCCCATTCAAAATGCTGTGAGGAAACATCAGAAAATGGGAGGTGTAATTTGAACTTAAACTTTCTAAGGCATCCTTAATATATAGGCAGAGCACTAAGGGAATGTTTGAGTCAGAGCACTGTTTGGTCCTGTTGTGGTTAAGACTTGCTCTATCATATTTTGTAGAAATAATCTGTTTGACTTTTTTTGCCTCTTAAAGAGATACCTCTTGTTTTTTTAATATCCGAAAAGCAAGATTTTTGTCTTATTCTACTAAAACATGCGATTTATTATTATTAATATTATTATTATTATTAAGGGCAGCATGGTGACTCAGTGGTTAACATCATTGCTCCTTTGCAACCCCAAATTACATAAAGCAGACAGAACATTTTCTTTTTCATTTTTCTTAAAGTTCACACGGTCACTTTTTTAGGGAATGCTACGCTACAGTACGTGCTGTCTTAAGGAGGGACAGAGATATTTCTCCACTGTCATACACCATTCCAAGAAAAATGCGAGAAATTTTCTTGAGCCCTGCCAATGACAATGGATTTAGTTTAAGTGGAAAGATGTTTTTTTGGCCACATTCAAATACTCTGGTTTGCTGTTTGCTTTATCGGGTAGTGACAAACTGCACTGTGGATTTTATCCCATCTAGAGCCAAGACAGTGGGGCCTTAGTGTCTTCTAGGAAAGACTGCTCTCTGGAGGTTCTGTTTGTGTTAGCCATATGGGAAATATTAGCCTGTCCAGTCACTAATCTACATCATCAGTCAGAAAGTAT